TGCTTCGTGCAATTGAAGGCAGTCCGCAACCGGCGATTCCAGCAGAATTCCGTTGAAGGAATCAGAAGCTCCGACGTCTAGGAGCAGGCTTCGACCCTCGCTGACAGAACCGAATTGCTGCCAAAATTCCTCCGTGGAGTAGGTAAGTCGAATCTAGGCATTAGATTCGCCCAGGTACACAACTCTTTATCCCTTTGCTTTCGTAGCTTTTTTTTAGGGTTGTTTAATTCCGCTGCATAATTTCCGATTGCCTAATTCCACTATAATTTGTGCTCGTGTGAAAGAACAACGGGATTGAGTAAGCAATTTTTTGCTAACATAATAATCTTGGGTTGTTCGTGCGATTGCTTCACACACGTGAGCCAAATTTGGAAAATTTAGGCCAGATTCTACGTGCCTCTGTGTTGCTGATTTTTTCAGTTTTTATTCTCTTTTGTGGGTTTTTTCTCCTTTGTGGTGATTTTTTTATTTTTTGATTATTTTTCCTCCTTTGTGGATATGTCTACTATGAATCAGTATGCTTTGACTCCTTTTAATGGAAAAACTGATTTTAGTATTTGGAAACAAAAATTGAAGTGTGTTCTTGTTCATCAAAAAGTTTATAGGGCTGTTAGTAATTCATATCTAGAAACAGACGCTAAAGAAAAAAGAGTTGAAATGAATGAAATTGCTTGTTCCATAATTTACTTAAACTTAACTGACTGTGTGATCAGAAAAGTTGGTATTTTGGAATGTGCTAAAGATCTTTGGAATAAACTTGATGAACTTTATATTGAAACTTCTTTGCCAAACAAGATTTTCTTACTTGAAAAATTTTTCAAGTTTAGATTGGATATGTCTAAGGACATAGAAGAAAATCTAGATGTTTTCACCAAACTGATTTCTGATATTAAATTAACCGGTGATAAACATATTGATGACTACACCCCTATTGCTCTTTTGAATGCTATTTCTGATTCCTACAGTGATGTTAAATCTGCAATTAAATATGGTAGGGATAATATTTCTCTTGATGTTGTTGTAAATGGTCTCAAGAGTAAGGAATTAGAGTTGAAAAATTCTAAGAGTGATAAAAATTCTGGGGAGGTTATGCATGTGAGGGGTAGAACCTTAAATAAGTTTCAAAACCATAAACATGCTAACAATGATAACTCAAATGTGAGAAAATTCAACCAGAGAAGGGGTAAGTCTAGATCCAAATCTAAAACAAGAAAATGCTACAATTGCAATGAATATGGTCACCTTAGTAATAGTTGTTCTAAGCCTAAGAAAATTCAGCAAAAAGATCATGCTAATATGGCTAGTGAATCAAACAACTTTGGTGATGTGTTAATGATCAAAGATTATGCTTATTTGAACTCTGTGTTATCGGATTATCTGTGTGAATCTGATTGGCTAATTGATTCTGGTTGCACCTTTCATATGTCACCATTTAAAAACCTTTTTTCAAACTATCAAGAGATTGATAATGGTATTGTGTCCATGGCAAATGAAAAGAAATGCAAAATTTTTGGAATTGGAGATATGTGTCTTAAATTTGACTCTGGATCTATTGTGAACTTAAAAAATGTTAGACATGTTCCTGATTTGTCTTATAATTTGCTTTCTTGTGCATCTCTTGAAAATGAGGGTTTTGAGGGAAAATGGGGGAAAGGTGTTATGAAAATAATGAAGGGTTCAATTGTTGTTTTCAAAGCTGAAAAGAAAAATAATTTGTATGTGTGCAAAGCTGAACCTGTTTGTGAGCATGCTAATTCTGTGGTTGATAATTCTGTTCTATAGCATAAACGGTTGGGTCACATGAGTAATAAAGGACTTGAAATATTGCATAAAAATGGACACTTGGGTAGTGATAAGCTTATGCATGTTCCTTTCTGTGAATCTTGTGTGCTTGGAAAACAAACCCGCGTTAGTTTTCCTAACCCCAATCCTGTTACTCGAACTAAGTGTTCTGATGTGCTTGAATATTTGCATGCTGATGTGTGGGGTCCCGCAAGTGTTTCCACTCACGGAGGGAACCAATATTTTCTTTCCATAATTGCTGATTATTCTAGGAAAGTTTGGGTCTTACTTTTGAAACAAAAATCTGAAGTTTTTGATAAATTTAAAAATTGGAAAGTTTTGATTGAGAACCAAACTGGAAAGAAAATAAAAACACTTAGGACAGATAATGGCCTTGAATTTTGCAACAAACAACTTGATAATTTGTGTGTTACTTGGGGTATTAAAAGACGTAAACTGTTCCTTACACGCCTCAACAAAATGGGGTTGCTGAGAGGATGAACAAAACTCTTTTAAAACTCTTTTAGAGAGGGTGAGGGCTATGTTAGCTACTTCTAGACTTTCTAAAAAGTTTTGGGGTGAAGCTGTTTGCACTGCTGCTTATTTGATTAATAGGTCTCCTTCTATACCTTTAGAAGGGAATTGCCCAGAAGTTGCTTTCTCGGGTAAACCCCTAGATTTATCAAACCTGCGTGTGTTTGGTTGTGCTGGTTATGTGCATCAAATGAATGATAAACTCGAACCAAGATCTAAACTATGTGTTTTCTTAGGGTATCCTGACGGGGTAAAGGGTTATAGGTTGTGGGTAAAAGGCGAACCAGGTTTCAAAATTGTGATAAGTAGAAATGTTGTTTTCAATGAAAATAATTTTCCTTGTTTGTCCTTGCCTATTCCCAATGTTGAAAATGTGGCTCCAAATGAGGTGGAGCAATTGCCTGTTATCATTCCTACTGATGTGCATGTAGAAACTAATGAACATGTTGATTCACACACTAATGAAGATGAGACTATTTCTAATGAGGTGGAGCATGATAGTGTAGAATCACAGGTTGAAAATGATTTGCATGACTATCAACTTGCTAGGGATAGAAATAGAAGAACCATTAGCAAACCTGCGAGATATGTTGATGACTGTAATATGTCTGAGTTTGCTTTTCATGTGTTTGAATCCCTTGAGTGTGATGAACCTAAGACTTATCATGAAGCATTAGAATCTAAATGTTCTGAAAAATGGGTTAGTGCTATGAAATGTGAGATGGAATCCCTTCGTGTTAACCAAACGTGGAAACTTGTGCCAAAACCTGAAAACTGTTCTCTTGTGGACTGTAAGTGGTTGTTTAAAATTAAGCAAGAACCTGAAAATGTTAGGTTTAAGGCTAGACTTGTGGCTAAGGGATTTACTCAAAAGG